ATCCCCTCCTGCACCCCATCTCCCACCCAGATCCTGCACCCCCATCCCTACCCCACTCACTGGCCGCTCTGTCCCAAACACTGAACCCTTCCTTTTTGGCTCCACACCAGAGCCTAAGGAAGTCCACAAAATCCACTGCCCCTCAAAGCCCAAGAGAGTTAATCTGGCCTGAGGCCTTGAACTTCATTTCTTCCTCCTCTCCATGGGGATGGAGTGCCAGGGAAGTGGGGTGTCTCAGTGGGGGGCCACATCAGTGAGGGCTGTGGGATTTTGGAGGGGTTTTTTTGCTGCTCATTTGTGTGGTCCCTAATTTTTCTGTGGGTCAGTGGCCCCCACCCCGAAAAAGGTTCCCCGCTCCTGCCATAAATAAAGAATGTTGAAACCTTTTGTATTGGACATAACATTTTTACTTCATTTAAAATAAAGTTTGCTAAACTAACATGAGAAAGCTGAAGTGCTTAATCTGTTCAATAATTTCAACTAATATTTTCTTTCTTACTGGCTAAATTAAACTGTTCTCCCTTGCTGCACCATTAGCAAAATGGCTCGAGTGTAATTATATAATTAGCGTCAAGTTTCCACTAGGACCTGGTGGTCCACGGAAAGGTTTATAATGACCTGGGTGGGCCATGGGCCAAAGGGCCTGTTCTTTTGCCATTCTCAAAATACATGGAACTTTTTAAATTAAAACAAAAAATTAATACACAATTTCAAAGACACATAAAATGGGCAGGCTGGGGGCACTCTGCTCATTGAAAGGGCCAGCTGAGGATGTGCTGGAAAGAACACGTGCACGCTCCCAGCTGGCATAGCGAGAGGGGCTGGCGGCAGCAGCTCCCCCCACCTGGCTGCCACAGCTCAGCTCCAGCCCCCATCTTTCTGCCGTGGTCTGTCCCCAGCTGCAGTGCTCCTGAGGTGGACCCCGCAGCTCAGTCATGGTGGACCTGCGACTGCTGCAACAGCCCAGCCATGGTGGCCCGGTTTAGGTTCCAGCTACGGCAGCCTGGCCAACTAGGCCCCAATCGGAAGCCAATCCCCCATCTGTCCACAGGGTCCTGTCCCTAGCACCGATCCTGGGGCAAGCCCCACTGTATGGTCCCCATCTGGCTGCAGGAAGGGCTGGTGGCAGCTCCCCTCCTGCTGCGGCACAGGTAGGAGGGGAGGCCATAATCTGGCTGTGGTGATCCTGGCCTGGCCCCTCCTTCCAGCCACTGCAGCAGCCCAGCCCCGGCTAGGTAAAGTAATCCATTCCCAGAACCTCCCCGCATACTCTGCTTCCCATCCCAGCACCCTGCCCTGCTGCCTGCACCTCCCACACATCCCATCCCCCTGTCCTGAGCCCTTCATACAGCCCAATCCTGACTGCTGCACCCCCACGTCCACAAACCCCCAGCAGCAGCAGAAGTCCATTAAATAAAGCCTGTGAGTACAATGTTTCATTGGTGCTATTATTAATCATCACATCAATCATCAATCATTTTCAGTTGTATATTTTCAGTCATGCAATTGGGCACTCTTATGCCGGCTCTTTGTTCTGAGTTTTGATGTAATTTGGCTCTTTGATGTGAAAAGATTGCCAACCCTTGCTCTAGAACTTTCCAGAACAAATAAAATTCTAGAATCAGGGCCTGACCCAGTCCTGTATTAAGGTTCGTATAGTGGCCATCTTGGCATTCCACCCTCCAATTCAGGGCAGATCTGTGTTTTGGCACCAGCTGTTGGCTCAGTTCTTGAAAGGCTCTTCCCTTCTGTCAAGAATCACCTCCCAAATGGGACCTCTGTTGGGTCCTCTCTAGGCTGACAGGACCACCCTTTGAGCCATTGGGCTCGTGTTCCCTGGCTCATTTATCGTGGAAGGTTGCTTTCCTCATGGCGGTGATATCGGCCAGATGAGTGTCAAAAGCCTTGACATCAGAACCATATTCAGTCCTCTATCTGGCTCTGACCCCAGATGGTCTTTTTACTGAAAGTGCTATGGCCCTTCCATGTTAACCAGGATATTTTCCTCCCGGCGTTTTAGTCTTTTTACTGAAAGTGCTATGGCCCTTCCATGTTAACCAGCATATTTTCCTCCCTTAAGTCACATGCCAATAATGAGGAGAGGAGGCTGCATGCTTTGGATGTCAAGTGTGCCTTGACTTTTTATCTGGCACACACCAGGCCCTTCATGGAAATCAACCCAGCTCTTCATGGCAACTGCTGACAGGATGAAGGGCCTTCCAGTGTCTACACAGAGGATCTCCAATCAAAGATCAAAGTGTGTTACTGCATCAAAGCGTATTATGACCCGGCACATGTCCTGCCACTGGTGGTCACAGGCATTATCGGCTGCATTCCTTGCTCACGTCCCAGTCCAGGACATCTGTAGAGCTGCAATGTGATCTTCCATACACACATTCACGACTCACTACAGCCACACAGACTAGGGAGGACACTGGCTTTGTCAGTGCTGTGCTACAAGCGACATATCCCTGAACTCCTATCTGCTTCCATGAATACTGCTTGGAAGTCACCCAGTTTGGAATGGCTGTGAGCAAGCACTGGAAGACAAAACAGTTATCTGTTCCATAACTGGTGGTCCTCGAGATGTCTATTTCTCAACCCACCCTCCTTCCTCACTTGTTGGAGTTTCCAGTGGGCAGGAACTGAGGGTGGTGGGAGTGTGAAGCATCCCTTATATTGTGCTTTGAGAGTTGCTAGAGTTGCTCCCCTGTGGATACTGGACCATGGTGCTTGTAGCGTGCACACACACCTGACTTGGAATGGACATGAGCAGCATCTCAAAGACCACCAATTACAGAACAGGTCTTTTAGCATCCGCCTGTTTCTTTGTCACTGTCCGGGTGGATACAAATTGATTTTTTTAAAGTCTACTGTTAAACAAATTATGTAGAGCAATTGCATCTTCTATAGGTGGGGAGACAATATTTTCTTCATTTCAGATTATAGTTATCTAGTTCAGTTCATTTACTATCTCATTCAAAGTTAAAAACCCAATTGGGAGTTGGAAAAATGAAGGACACTGTTTTTCTCTGCCACTCCATGTGGAAAAAGTAGGTGTAAGAGAGTAAGATCTACTAGTTCTAAATTCTTGAAGGACAACGTAACCAGGAACAAATCAATTAAATTCACAAATCACTGATAATACTGCCTTTGTTTAATAAACTGGTTATTTTTCAATGTTTTGATACACTTTCTGATAAACTTTCTTCTGATGTATACAGCACTTTTAATATCATTTTATTTAATAAAAACAATTAAAATGCTATTTTTCTGCATTTTAATTTAATTTGAATTTCCATCCTATTTGAGTGTGACAAAGATCACACAAAAAATTTAATCTACTATATCAGAAAAGCCTTCACCATTTTCTATTAAAAATGTCAAAACAAAGAAGCTGAATAAGTATATGCTAATGGGCTAATCTATATAGTTGATTTGCTTAAATAAATAAGTAGAGATATAGTGTAGTTAGCAAAAATCACCAGCAAAATATAGCCTTTCCACTAAATTAATTTAGTTGCAAGTCAGCATGCTTCTGAGGTTACAAATTAATGAGAAATCAACATTTCCTTAAGTTACATTCTAAAAAGTACAAATGCAAAACATGATTAAAATAGTGGTTTCCTGCTTGCTGATTTAATTTCTGTATAAAGGGACTTTTCCCCCTGAGAACCATGCTATAGACCTGATGTTCTAGGCAATTTATAGCTCAACTTTCTCCGTCCATGCAGAACCTCCCCAGGATCAGATCTGTAAATCCAGAATACAAATCAAGGAAGTTAGGGTTTTTGGGGGGTGGGAAAGTTAGGAGGGGCATGGGCTGAGATAATAAAAATGGATTTTGGTAAACCAAGACTGGCTGTTTTTCTGGAAATTGTGCTCTAGTTCAAAAAGGAGTAAATTCAGGAAAGTCTTATGTCTGCAGTATAGGAGGTCAGACAAGATGATTACCAGGGATCCTAGTAATCCATTTAGAAAAAACACAGAATTTGCATTTTTACAAAAAATCTCTAGTTTTTACATTGTGTAAAAAAATATAAATATTAACTATTAACTAAATCTTACTGAAGGTGTCAGTGTCACTTATTCACTGTGTGCAGCCTCCACTCTTGATTTTTAAATTTACATAGCTAAACATACTACAATAAACTACTTCCAATGTACTGAAGTTACTCAACAGTGTATAGGGTTCTGTGTTTTAATGTCTCTCACATTTCACTTCAACCTCCAGACATGAGTAATCAAAGTTATGAAAAGATACCAAAAACTTTAAAACCACCCCTAGAGTCAATGAATTTGGCAAGGAGAAATTTCACATTGATGATACAGGTAGAACCTCTCTAGTCTCGCATCTTCTGGACCTCACTGGCGCTGAACCAGAGAATTTGCTGAACCATTCAAGATCAATATTTTCTATCAGTATTACCAACACTTCCACTGCTTACAGGCCTCTTAGAAGATATTTAGGTGTAAATTAGAGCTAAACAGCACAACAGAACACTGGACTGGTGGCTGTAAACAAACTTTATGAGACCACAGGAAACTTGGCCACACACACCCATGATAAGTGGACATCCAGCCAAAAGAAAGCATGCTGAACCACAGATGTTACTGGACTAGAGTGTGCTACACTAGACTAGTTCAACCTGTTCTGCACTGTATGCAGTAAGGTCATAGATTACATTCGAAGGCAGACACTTGTAGAACACATGGAAAGCGCCAAACTAAACTAAAAACAAAAAACAAAAACACAAGAGAGGCTGAAACAGTAGGACCATCAACAACTGTAAAGAAAAAAGAGAGGCTGAAACAGTAGGACCATCAACAACAACTGTAAAGAAACAATGTACTATGACTATCACGTGAGTGTTTTTATGCGTTTAAAACCCACAATTTCCTGAAAATATAGAATACAAACATACAACTGTTAGGTATAAATAAAACATACAAATAGCAATTCTATTAATTTTATTATAGTGTTTGTGAAATGGATAGGCTTGAACTTGCTAAAAATGGTAAATATATCAATAAAACATTGCATTCAACTGATACCTATATATATTGTGGCTAGGGAAACTAAAATTCAGCGTTTCATTTCAACTGTGGACAAACTGAAGAATTTTGGGGTTTTTCCTTTCACAGAAAGCTAAGATCCCTAATAATCACAATGGCCCCTTTCAGACATACTATCTATGAATAACATTGACAAATGGAAACTGCCGATTTCCTCATTGGTTTGGAGTCATAATTTTCCTGTGTGTTTCTTCCTGTGAAATCAGGGTCAAGGCAGTCAGTCCTAGAAAAGGCTGAGCAGGCTCAACTCCTACTGAAGTAGATAGATGCTGGACACTGTCAGGCCATTTCATGATTTGGACCACTGTCAGGGCTAATGATCCAAGAGTTGAAGGCCCTCGGTACCTTGTAGGACTGGGACCTAACTGAATAGATCCAGTCCATTGGTCTTTTGGAACTGCAAGTTGAATCCATCTCAGAAAGCGGCTCCTAGTTTAGTGTCTCACTGACGCTTCTTGTCTGGCGTTGGCACCTGGAAGATCAGTTGCTTCCGCAGGGTTGATTTTATTTCTGGCATCTGCTTTTTGTCGAGAAACACTTTTTCTCCCACTTTCTTATTGACTTCTGTCAGGATGGTCAACAGATCTACACGCCTTGAACAAATTACAAGGGGAAACAAGAGTGATACGGAAACACACAGGACTTTCAGAGTAGCCGTGTGAGGCTGGTCAGGAAAGTTGTCCAGGTTTGGGTGACATGATCCCCTGGAGCAAGGACAATGGCTTTCCTTTACCCTAGCTAGGCGGTGGGTAAGGAAGGCAAGGGAACGCATTGCCTTCCCAAAACAACTGGGGTGGTCCCACCCATGCTCCATCCTAGGGCCCCTCCTACCTGTGAGCAGTGGGTTGCTCTTGGACTGGTGCTGGGGCTGGCGATTGGAGAGGGAGAGGTGCAGGGCTGGCCAGCCCCCTGGTGCTTCAGGGCCAGAAAGGCTGGTGTCGACTGGTTCTACGACCGTCTGGGAAGGCTGGAGCTGCCCAGCTGCTCAGCCAACTGGTGTTCCTGCCAGCCAGGAAGGCTGGGGCCACACCACCCGTGGAAGGGGGGAGGCACAGAGGCCTGGGGGCATCCCAAGGCTGGGAACCACTAGCCTGGGGTGGGGACCAGCTGCTACAGCAAGAGCGAGCTTGGTTCCATGGTGGTGGGGGGCATTGTGGAAGGGACGGGGACTCGAGCTGAAGCGCAGGCCTGGGGACTTGCCTTCCCCAGCTGGGGTTTCACCCACCACCTATGGTACGATGTAACCATTGCATTCAACATATATCAGAAGAAAAAAGAATTTCAGAAAGGCCACTCGGTGTAAGCTTTTCTATCAAGCTGCATTTCTTGATACTGGTTAGAAGGAGCATTTAGATAATATGGAGATGCCAATGAACATCATCCAACCCTCCTGCTGCTCTCCATGATGCTACACAAGACTGATCACAGACACCATTTGCCTTCATTTCCAAAGCACAACACTGGCGCTGCTTCTTCTATAGACTGCAGCCTAGGGAAGGGTGGTTCTTGCCATTGCTCTTCACTAAAAAGAACTGCCTGCTTCCTCTGGCTTCCACTAATTCCCACTGGAAGAACAAAACCACTGGTCATTTAACATTGTGAAGTACTATATAGGAGACGTCTGGGAAGGCAGCACAGTATGGAGCAGCGACAGGCAACCAAGGCTGGTGAGTGGGCCACGAGTGGCCCTCCATCTCAGTGGGCATGTGCATTAACCATGACCAGCATGGTTTTTGCTTTAAATGGGGGTCACTTCTCATTTCGCCCCACCCTGTCCTCACACTCCAGCCCTTCCATCAAAACACTGCCCGGCTCGTCTCTGTCCCCTCCAAACATGCCTCATCCCCTCTCCTTCCCTTTCCTCCCAGCACTTCCAGAACTCTGTGAATCAGCTGACCTGTCCCTGATCCTCCACCCTCCCTCCCAGAATTCGAATGCTGTGAATCAGCTGATTTGTGGTATTCAAACTCTGGGAAGGAGGGCGGAGGAGCAGGGACAGGTCAGCTGATTCACAGAGTTCCAGAAGCGCTGGAAGGGAGGGGGAGGGGGAGGTAAGTGCGGGGTCCCTAGGCACGAGAGGCATGGGGAGACGGCTCAGAGGGAGGCTGTGCAGGCCGAACATAGAACCCGGACAGGTGATATGTGGGCCACAGGTTGCCCACCACTGGTGTGGCGGATTGAGCTGGGAACTGGGCACCTGCAGGTTCAGCCCAATAATCCTGGTTACACTGCTGATTCCCATAACCTCAGGCAAGTCACAGAGAGTCTGTCTGGTTTGTGAAACAGGCACCGCAACATGCACTGACCAGCATGACAGAGGGCTTGGGAGGTCTAACTAGCACTCATGCAATGCTTTGAAGATGCAAAGTGCTGTAAGCGGAAAGTGCTATTGTCTGTAGGTTTCTATTCAGATTAGTTTAAGAAAGGGCTCCTGGAAGAAATGCATCCCACCCCTTCATCAGTCCTCTATATACCATTCACATGGGGCATAGGAGTAGTACTTACTGTGGGCAGAAGGACTCTAATTCCTCGCAGAGACACTGAATGTACACGCTGCCTGTCTCTCTGTATCTGTAGCACACAAAGTCTTCCACTGTGGCCATGCTAATGAGGATATCAGCCCAGTCGGGAATGGAAGACATGGGGAAAGCATCTGTCTCCAGCTCTCGAGAAGAATCTTCTTCCACTGGGATATTTTTCTGCCCTGTCCTGCCTTGGCAGGCTTGAATCAAGAAGAGTTTGGGTTTGCCAGCGAGAGAGAAGCACTTGGATCCCGTGAAGCAGGAGACGAGATCTGTGATGGATACAGAATTCCAGTCTGTCCCATGTACTTTTCCTTTTTCACCGTGTGAGAGCAAGCAGCAAATGAAACAGTCCATGTTGCTATGATCCATGTTGCTATAGTCTTGGATTTTCTCGCGGATTTCCTTTGCTTCTAGGTTTTGGTGCTCAATTGTCTCAAACTGAAGCCTCTCAAAGACCCGTTTCAGAGCCGCTGGGACAGAAAGGGAGAGGGAGAGTCAACACTCATTTAACACAGAAGCAGAGGATGGGGCAGAAGATGAAATAGTAGGTAGTGTACTGGAGAACAAGGGTATGTCTACACTACCCTGCTAGTTCGAACTAGCGGGGTAATGTATGCATACCGAACTTGCTAATGAAGCCCGGGATTTGAATTTCCCGGGCTTCATTAGCATAAAACCGGCGCCGCCATTTTTAAAAGCCGGCTAGTGCGAACCCCATGCCGCGCGGCTACACGCGGCACGGGCTAGATAGTTCAAACTACGTAGCCATTCCGAACTATCTGTACCACGAGGAGTACAGATAGTTCGGAATGGCTACGGAGTTCGAACTATCTAGCCTGTGCCGCGGGTAGCCGCGCGGCATGGGGTTCGCATTAGCCGGCTTTTAAAAATGGCGGCGCCGGCTTTATGCTAATGAAGCCCGGGAAATTCAAATCCCGGGCTTCATTAGCAAGTTCGGTATGCATACATTACCCCGCTAGTTCGAACTAGTGGGGTAGTGTAGACATACCCCAAGAGACATGGTCAGGCAGTTTGGAATAAGCCCATCTTATTGCACTGTACAGTCAGTCCTCTTGGAGCAAAATGATATTGCCCTAGCAAGATATTCACAACTCTCCCTTTCCTGCTGTTACAATGCTGTCCTCCCAGAAAAAAACCAAAACACATTTTACTTCCTTAGCAATTATTCATTATACATGAAGGGTACGTCTACACTACAGGATAAGGTCAAATTAAGCTATGCAATTTCAAATACATTAATTGCATAGCTGAAGTCGAAGTACCTTAACTCAAATTTTGGTGCTGTCTGCACTGAAGGAAGTCAAAGTGAGAACACTCTCCTTTCAACTTCCCTTACTCCTCATGGAAGCAGGACTACTGGCATTGACTGGAACACCCCTCAGTTCGAATTAGCGTGTCTTCACTAGACCTGCTAATTCAAACCCTGGAAGAGTGACAGTAGCAGCTTCCATCTTCCTCTGTAGTGTAAACATACCCTAGAGGAGCTTGGTTTGTTTAAGCATCTTTCACCAACTTCATGCTGCAGAGATCTGAGATTCTACTTATGAATAGCTCTTGATAAAACAAGATGATGATGTACTTCTTTAAGGCTGGATTCTGTTACTTTTCTAATAGTTTCATAGTCTGAGAATAGTCCTGTTGAAATTAAGCCGAATCTGGCTTCTAAGAGAGGCAAGGACTTATATTGTTTTCCCCAGTGCCTTTTACTTTGCTTTGTAATGGGCAAGAAGAGTTGCTGCTGGAAAGGGTTCAGAGTTAAAATCCAGTCCTATATGTATTTATATGACACCACAGTAAGGAGGAGGGATGTGTGGATTCAGATAGACACAGAGTTATTGAAGAAAGAGGGGCTCAGAGGCAAACGCCAAAATGGAACACTCATTGGATTCATTTGAGCATTGCCACAACCAGATGTGTTTATCTATCAGACACTTTTTAACTTGCAGTGCGGTCTCCTAAGGAGGTTAAGTATCGGGTAATCGACTAATTGAATAGTCAATGCATTTTGCATCAACTATTCGATTAGCTGGTAGGGTGCCTCCACCTTTGAAGTGTAGCAACAGCCCTAGGGTTGAAACACCACGTGTAGCACAACGCCAGGCTCCCCGCAACATTTCAAAGTGGAAGAGCCGCACAAAGCCCATGGTCCCCTGGGGAGTCCCCAGCTGATCCCAGGCTCCACATAGCTTTGCAAAGCAGCAGTGCCATGTGGAGCCTGGGGTCTGGCCCCAGGCTTCAAGAGATGCTGCCGCTTTGAAGTACACCGTTTTCTCCCCCCCTTCCCCCATAGAGGCAGCAAGGGGGGGGGGGAGCGACTAGTCGACAATCTCGTCGACTATCTGAAAAGCATTTGCTTATCAGATAGTCGACCAGTCCTTCATATCCCTACTCCTTACATCCTCCTGTTGCAGACTGTAGGGTGAGTGAGTGCAGAATCGCGAGCATAAGGAATTTACGGCAGTTCTAAGAACAGGACTATTAAAAACCAAAAAAGTGATAAAGAGAAGTCATCAAGCAGAAAGACAACACAGCAGAAAAAGCACACACATATATACACTATTACTCACATATACTCTATAAGCATTAGTGTGTATCCAGAACAGAAAGACTTTCCTTCTTTAAACTACATTTTTTGCATATTCTGCCCAAGAGGGTAAAAATAAATCTGTCCGCTATAAACAGACCCATTTGAATAGTAGAACTGACCAGGAGACTAAGAGCAGTGTTTTTCTACAGCAAGAGAACTAATCTGAGTCAGCTCTCAGGTTATCAAACCCTCACCCGACAGCTTCTGTTGTTAGCGCAGTGCAGGGAGCTGAGGTCATCCACAGCTGGGGAGTATCATGTTGACCTCATCTAGCAACTACAAGGTAAAAACTACCTGTTCCTTATCTCCATCAGAGTTTCACAGGGAAAGGGCTAACCCTGGTTAATTACCAAGCTGTAATAAGACCGCCCCTTTCTGCAGTAAAGAGACAGTATAAACACTGTAGATTCCTATATTTCCAGCTTTTCTGGTACTATAATGGCCGACACGTCTGTCAGACCAGCCATGGAGGGAAGGGAGCTGGATGAAATTGGTCTGGTGAAAGTATCGAGTGATCACACCCATTCTACAAAGAAGGGTAGATTAAACGGTTCCCTCAGTCCGAGGCAAAGTACAAACTAGAAATCCCCATCATCCCCAGCAGTTCAACAAGCAAAATATTTACCAGCATCTTTGTCTGTGCCCATCCTGGTTTCATCAGGATTTTTAAATACAGCGTTGTTCAGTATCACACAATAGCCATGAGGACGATTGTCCATCCTGTAGGAGTTCTCAGGCTAGAGAGAGGTACAGAGCATAATGACAAGGTTGCAAAAGCAGCAGCAACGTGGATTTTAAGGTACCCAGAAGAGAAATGTGACTAAGTATAACTGCCCACAGGCGGATTTGAACCTGAGACCTCTGAAGCAGAGTACAAGGGCCTCTACCCTCTGAGCTAAAAACCAGCTGGCTCCCAGTCCCTGCTGTAGAGGTCTCTTGATCTTAACGGTTGCTGTGGTCTAGGTACCACTTGCATTGCTCAGTAATCACACTAGGTGTATAGGTTACATAAGCACAGCCTGTTACCCTGCCCTACCTAAGCCGCACACACATTCATTTTACAAATCACCCTGTCAAAAGGAGGCGTGTCGCCTATAAGGTTAACCTGCTTGCTTGCCTTTGCCCCTATGTCCTATAAGGGGATGATCCACTTTGCTAGTTGGCCTGTTTTCAGAGCCTGAGCTTGTTTTCTATGCTAGTTTCTAAGCTGTGTCCTTAGTCTATTTGTCCGTTTGATTTTAAACTTGAAATTAAAACGGTCAGTTAAGTAAAAGTAAGTTAGCTTTAACAGCTCTTAGCTTTAACTTCTCCGACACTCTGCATCTCCCACTCAGGAACAGAAAAACTTGGATCTGAACTCTCTTGGCATGCCAGAGGAAGCTGGTCCTTTGTCTCTTACCATCAGGTTATCAAGGATGGGTGAGAACATATTAATTAAACGCTTTTTAGAATGCAATACCTTTAGAATACTAGCACTGCATTCGTAACCCTGCTTTATTTTACCATGTAATTACTGTTTGACTTCTGTTCTCATTTACCTCAATAAAAAAGTTTTAAGACTATATTTGTCTCCGTGTGAGCATCCTGTTACAGCCCCTGAGAGTCTTTTGCATATTCTGTGTAGTCAGATTCTGGGACAAGAACCTTCTTAACTTTTGAGCAGATGGCTCGGCGCGGACTGCTACAACCCGTATTGTCCAAATTGAGAACGTTCATCTCTTACATCAGGCAACAGAAGTGGCAATTGCTGGGGTGATGGGGAGAGAGGGGGGGTGTGAATCTGGCCTGCAAGGAGATGAAGGGAGTGGGGAAATAAGGACCCTCTTTCCTTCTCCTTGCACACTCTCTCCATCCCTCCCGCTATGGCAGGATTATTGGTCTGGAGCAGAGAGACAGGAAGCAGGTGTTTGCTCCTCAGCCAACGTTCCACCTCTCCCCGGAGCACGTGCTGAGAGTTACTTCCAACTCCTGTTCCCACCTGCCTTTGCTTGTGGGGCTCATTGGTTCTCACCCATTGACTCAGCATGGTGGAAGGGAGGAATGTGATTAACAGTGACTGCCAGAAAATCCTCTGGCTTCAGGTGTCTTGGTGAGTCATGTCCCACCCCCACGTTGTTTCCTTCTAGTAATCCTAATGGGACTTTGACCTGCAGACAATACAGCAAAGGGCAGGGTTTATTTCTGCCTGCTGGCTGAAGCCTCCATTGGGCCTCACCCACAACTGTACCAAGTTATCCGAATGGCATTTATGAACCTGACGGTCAGGGGCAGAACAGCAATTTAAGGTAAACATCAGGGATTTCTCACCTTGGGCACGGACATTGGTTCCTTTGCTCCCCATTCACCTGGACCCAGAAATGGCCCTGTTTGCAGGCAAGGGACTTTCTGATGCATATGACCTACAAGAGGCATGAGAGGGCGTTCAGAGTCAAAAGAGTTGACTGTACAAGGAATGGCATCCAAATGATGTAAAGGAGCAGGGTGGGGACTAGTTTCTGTTGGGCACATGTCACTGTGAGGCTCTCTAGACCAGTGGTTCCCAACCTTTTTCATATCGTACACCAGCAAACCCATTTACAAACTTTCGGTGGACTGGTAAATTTTATTTGCATATTCATTATACAAATAACGAATATGCAAATATTCACATAAAATGTGACTGATCCACAAAAAGCCCCAGCTCCGAGAGCCCCCCAGTGTGAGCTCTCCACCCAGGATGGCCCGGTGCCCCCCAGTGTTGGTCCCCCAACTCTTGGAGACCCCCACCCCTTAGAGCTGCTCAGTACTAGCCCTACCCCCAGAGTCCCCAGTGCTTACCCTGTCCCCCTCACTAAGTCCTGCTGCCCAGGTCATAGCTGCTCTAAGGCTGCTGTGCGGAGCTCTGTGCAGCCCCCCTGCCCGGTGCTGGTTGGCTGAGAGTCCACGCCTCTCTCAATAGCCAAGCACAAAGGGAAGTGGTGGAATCTCCATCCCTAGAGGTGTTTAAGTCTTGGCTTGACAAAGCCCTGGCTGGGTTGATTTAGTTGGGATTGGTCCTGCCTAGAGCAGGGGGCTGGACTTGATGACCTCCCGAGGTCTCTTCCAGCTCTGTGGTTCTATGACTGAGGCGTAGGCCTTGTCTCCACTACATGGTAAATCGACTCTGCAGCAATCGATTTATCACATTTGCTTAGATGCGATAAATTGATCTCTGAGCACTCTCCTGTTGATTCCCATACTCCATCAGGACGAGAAGAGTAGGCGGAGTCGACAGGAGAGCATCAGCTGTCAACCCTTACCTCATGGAAGATACCACGGTAAGGACGTCAACTTCAGTTCTGCTATTTGTGTAACTGAAGTTGTATATCTTAGATGGATAGGCCTCAGTGCAATAGATGCATCAAGAAGAAAAGGTGGGTATCTGCCCACAGAGTGATAATCTGCTCCTATCTGGTCCTCTCTCAAATGCAAAGAAAGATATATTGTGCACTATGCTGAAAAGAGCTACAGTAATATCCCACAGCAGAAGTGGGACAGCAGCACGTGTCAAAAAAGACTAATGTAACTTTGCTGGATGCCAGAGACCAAAGACACACACTGCTGGCTGCCCACAGTTAAAACAGTTAATTCATATTCCCACCCCCCACCCCACCGAATATAAAAGGAGAGAGTTCCTCCCATTTAGACAAGAATCACAGAGTAGGATGCAGATGTGGTTTGCCATTTCCTCCAAAGCTCTGGGGGGCGAAATAAGAAAAATTGGTATTTGGGGAAGGAGGCCCTGTGGACCTGATTTTGCAATGGGCTATGTATAGACGTAAAGCTCCCCTCTGCATGATCCTGTGGGATTTTGGCCTGCATGCTGTTAGCTGGGGAAGAAGGGGTGGAATCAAAAGAGAACTCTGGATGAGGAGAGAACATAAAGAAATGGAGCTAGATAGAGGATGAACAGTCTGACCCCACCAGTATTCCTAATGCCCAACCTCTTATCAGCTAACTTGTCACTTCCCCGAGCATTCAGTGTAGGCAGAAGGATCTTAAAGGGGATCGCTCAGAGAGGGTGTTCCATGCGTAAGAAGAGGCTCTGAGATAATTAAGTCAGAGGTTGATAAATGGGTGGGCACAGAAATATAGTTAAGCCTTCAGGAGACTCTGGAGGTTCACATTCAATTCCCTGCTCTGCAACAAAGTGCTTTTGTGACCATGGGCAAGTCACTTTGCCCCTTTAACTCAGTTCCACACATCTGAGGTAGGGACAATGGTACTTCAAAACCTCATGGGGGCTCAGACGCTAAAATAATGGGGACAATATTAGATGGATTTACCAGCTGGAACAGAGTGTTTGATCATTTCCAACTCTTGAAACATGTGACCCACTCATATTTTCATCTTCATTTGCCATTTAGATAATGTCAATCGCCATAGCACCTCTGGGCCTGACACTGTTCAACATCAGGCTCGTTTTAGGTGTACTTAGTTTGTGATAATTAGTCTGATTTTTAACCATATTAATTAAGAGGCTGAGTCTCCATGGCACTGCACAGGCTTCACAATCTAGATGGGAAACAATGAAGGTAACAAACATCTTCACGCCTATGCAGGGACCGGACTCTTGGCTTCATTTAAGTCGGTCATCAAGTCTATGCTCTAGTTAATAGAGGCACTGATTTGGGGATAGTCTTAAGGCCTGTGTCATACAGGAGTCCAGACCTGATCACAAGAACCTCATCTGGTTTTATAATTTATTAATCTCTTTCAGTAGCAGTAACAAAACACTAGGGCTGTCGATTCATTGCAGTTAACTCATGCGATTAACTAAAAAAATTAGTCTCAGAGGAGCAGCCTGTAGCTGCAAAAATAATGAGGAGTCCGGTGGCAGCTTAGAGACTATTAGGGCATAAGCTTTAGTGGGTAAAACCCACTTCATCAGATGAATTGGAGTGGAAGTTACAAAAGCAGTGGGATATATAAGGAAGAAGTTGCTTGTGTTAATGAAGCTAATCAAGTCAGGGTGGAAGTGAGTCATTCATAGCATTTGGTGTGGGGATGTGAATATCCAGAGAGGGGAAATTGCCTTTGTCATGCGTTAAGCAGTTGAGATTCTAAGCTGATAGTGTTGAATTTGCAAATGAATTCCAGTTCAAAAACCGGTTAGAAAAGGAGACAGCTGAAGTTCTTTTGTAGAAGGATGGCTACTTTTAAATCTTGTATTGAATGTTTAGGGAGGTTAAAATGATCCCCGACAGGTTGCTGTGTGTTACCATTCCTGATGTCTGATTTGTGTCCATTTATCCTTTGGCACAGAGGCTGTCCGGTTTGGCCAGTGTACAGGGCAGAGGGACACTGCTGGCATTTGATGGCATAAATCACGTTAGTGCAGAGGTGGGCAATAATTTTTGGTTGGGGGGGCCACTCCAAGATTTTGGTAAGTGGCCAAGGGCCACATTTTTCTGTGGAGGGGGGTACAGGGTCTAGGTTGGAGATTGGGTGCAGAAGGGCGCACAGGGTAAGGGCCTGGGGTTCAGGAGACGGTGTGGATTCTGAGAGGGTGTTGGGGCGAAGGATGGGGTTGTGACCTGGGTCAGGGGATTGGGATATAGGATCAAGGAGGGAGTGTGGGTGCAGGAGAGGATTCTATCCGGCAGGAGGGGTGTAGGAGGGGATACAGGGTCTGGAGGGAGTTGTCACCTGGGGCAGGGGGTACAGAGGGTTTGGATGGTGATCTGGGGGAGGGAGTTGGGATGCAGGAGGGGTTGGGGTGCCAGAGGCAGGTGCTGGCTGGGAGGGGCTTACCTGCTGCAGCCCCAGCCTGCTTGAAAAATACAAGCTGCTCCCTCCATATGGCTCTCAACTCCAGCTGCCCCGGTCTCCCAGGCCAATCTAAGTACTGTTTTTCCAGAAAAATGGCTGTTTTTTCGGAAAAACACTGCAGTGTAGACACTCCCACGGTGTCAGATTTGTAGATGAATTACCATCCTGCAGTCTCTGTAATTGTGTGGTGAAATTCCTTTGTAGAAAAATGTTTACTACACAGTTTTCTGCTGTCTTATTTGTTTTCATTAATCCTTTGTCGCAGCGACAGTCGGGTTTGGTCAATATACATGGCCGAGGGGTATTGCTTACACTTGATGGCATATATCACATTAGAGGATGTTCAGTTGAATGAGCCCCTTATGTTATAGCTTATGTGGTTAGATCCTGTGATGACGTTGCTTGTATAGATATGTGGACACAATTGGCAACAGGTTTTGTGGCAGGGATAGGTTCCTAGGCAAGCGTTTCTGAGGTGTGATTAATCAAACTGTTTCACAATAAAATACCAAATTAAGTTTATTCAATATTTTGGATGTTTGTTTACATTTTTAAATAGACTGATTTTTTACAAGACAGAATACACATTGTACAGTGCTCACGTAATATTTTGATTACAAATATTTGCACTGTAAAAATGACAGAAAATTGTATCTTTCGGTTCGCCTCAGACATGTACTGTAGTAAAAACTCTTTAGAGTAAACGTGCAACTTGCAACTGTAGAATTTTTTTTGGTACGTAGCTACGCTCAAAAACCAAACAATGTAATTCCTCCAAAATTCCCCGTGCAACTTGTAGCAGAGACTTGGGGCTTCCCACAAACAGCTGGGGCCCATGGGGCTTGGGGCTCCCCTCCTTGCAGGCTGCAGCGGAGGCAATGGGGCCATACTTAGTCATACAACCATATGCAGCTGTGTAGGGGCATCCAAAAATTTGATGCCCAAAATTTTCAGGTGCCCTATGTAGCTGCGTATTTTGCATATGCCTGGGGATGGCCCTGTATGCAAAACTCCTGATCTGACCTTCAGGTGACATTGTAAACGAGAAGCAAGCAGCATTATCTTCTGCTAATTGTAACCAAACTTGTTTGCCTGAGCGATTGGCTGAGCAAGAAGTCAGACTGAAGGGACTTGTAGGCTCTAGTGCAGTGTTTCCCAATTTTATTTGGCCAAGGAACCCTTTTCAGCTTTTCCGAATTTCAAGGAACTCCTAGGTTTGTCAAGCAAAAAAAAAAGGGGGGGGGGGCCCACAAATACTTGAAAATCACATTCCTTCCCCAAGACCCACCCCCATCTCCCTTCTGTGAGGCCTCATCCGAGCACTCTCCTGTTGATTCCCATACTCCATCAGGACGAGAAGAGTAGGCGGAGTCGACAGGAGAGCATCAGCTGTCAACCCTTACCTCATGGAAGATACCACGGTAAGGACGTCAACTTCAGTTCTGCTATTTGTGTAACTGAAGTTGTATATCTTAGATGGATAGGCCTCAGTGCAATAGATGCATCAAGAAGAAAAGGTGGGTATCTGCCCACAGAGTGATAATCTGCTCCTATCTGGTCCTCTCTCAAATGCAAAGAAAGATATATTGTGCACTATGCTGAAAAGAGC